CGACTCGTTCGACCAGGTACAATCGTAAATACATACAAATTGTACCATATGTGATCATAAACATATATCTTAAACATTTAGAATATTTAGAAGACATTAATATATTTAGATAAATCTTTATTATAATAAATATATATCTTTTTCTTGTTTTCATATGCTTTAAATAACTATAACTTGTACCTCTCACTATCAATTTTCATTTCATGTTTCATTTCATTTTATTAAATTGAGTAAAACATGAATTTTATTGGAATTTTTACTACACTAAATATATTGGAATTTTTTTGTTGTTGTTCGTTAATAACTATTGGATAACTACAAAAATTTATTCAGACTTATATCTTTATGAACAGAGCTAAAAGAGATTTGTTCTAAATGTCACATTTTTCATGAACACATAAGCATGTGTTAATTAAGCTAGTTGTTCACGAAAATATTTGTAATGTTCATACGGACTCTTTGTGAATATAATACAAATATATATTTCACAAATATTTAAATAACTACAATCCGTTACATATATCAGTAAACCACAATATTCATTGGGACTTTAATACTCGTTGATCTTAATTTAAAATTATTATTCATACTAATATTTCACTAAATATATTTACTTGCAATAAATATCTTCTATATTATTTTCAGATCGATTCTAAATTTCACCTATCGTGATACTCGTGTCTCAATACAATGTTAACAAAATCAAAGGTTTCAGAATATATTGTAAAATATAAATTACACGTGCAATCTGCACATAAATAAAAATTCTTTCATTCTAAATATACGAATATTTTCATGAGCCGCGGTAGCTAAAATTCACTTCAAACTCGCCATTATTAAATCATTATGCGATATACTCACTTTTCGTTTTCAAACATTATCGATTGTTATTCCCGTTGGTTCTAATTCTGGAAAGTTAACTAAATTAACGAGTTCGTCATAAGAGATAAGCACTAACCATCGCGTGAGCGAATTAAAGCGCACTTTTTTAATCCGTCTGGATCAATCAACAAATTGCAACACTGAAGGATGAATATCGTTCCTTGTATAACAGAATGCTATCACGCTAGTTGCTTTCAGGTACACGTGGCAAACGTGCCATTTTCGGCCGTGTTAATTAGCCATGCTGTAAATCGTGCTTAATGATTTTCCGATTTGAAGGATCTTCCTGCTCCACACGCTGCGAACAGATAACAATTGAGCCTATTTGCCGCGACTTAATGTAATTATTCTATTACTACGCGCACTCAAGTAATGTCATTGATGAATGGCCGCGTGATAATTAAAGCTTGATATTTCGTGCACGTATTACTATTCAAATTATATATTAATTTTTTATTTCGTTACTATATTCATTTTTCTATGAAACATAACTTTTTTGTGCACGGTAATGGTTGTTCGACCTTTTTTGTAGAATTTTATACTTTAATCATTTAAAGTCTATCCCTTGATATTACATTTATGACATTGTGACAAGTGTGATATTACCTAACGGAATTTTATATGTATAATTTTTAGTTGTTTCTTGAAAGATAGTATTTCATATTTACGAAAAAATGAACTGAAAGAAGATGTTTCTTTTTCACAGTTTCTTAAAACTCACTGAACACATAAGAGGCTAAACCCTTGTTTGTTATAATGTTTATTCTTTATTGTGAATTTCTTTATGCGAGCTTATGTATTTCGAAATGCTCTAGAAATTGCTAGAAACGTATATTTAGTATTTGGAGAAGATTGGATATTTTCTCCAATTTTATTTAAATAATTTTGTAATGCATAGATTAATTGAAATTAATTAATATTCATTTTGAGTTATAGAAGGACAGCAGGATTAAAATTAATTTATTCGTTTTATTTCGTGACGAAATAAGGCGTAAAATAATCTCCAGTATTTTCTTTATTTAAACATTGTTTCTACGCCAGTACTCCAGTAGAGAGTTTTAAGAAAATATTAAACAATAACAATTCGACAAGTTGATTGATAGGTCTCGATTGTCAAAGTAGACTTAAAGTTCGAATCTTTTCATATTTTTCGATGATTCATCATCATGGTTATTTATATATGTTTATCATGGATAATTGTATCTATCAACAAGATTAGGAAATTTTTCATTTCAATAATAAATAATAAGTAACAATTAAAAGTATTAATAATTTAATTCAATGATTCAATTTTTTATTTGAATATCAGAATCGTTAATCATTCAAATAACATCGCAAATAATTTTTGATGAACAGAGATAATAAATAATTATTTATTTTAGCTAACGAAAGAGTCCTCGAATATTCATTTTCTTTCTCTACAAATAGTTCGTTGTTCATTTGTTTTTAATATTCTTCTTTCAAACAACTTGTTTGACAGTCTATTTAGTTCATTGTATAGGCATCATTCAACATTCATGTTGAACACTAGGAAATCGCGATAACAATTGTTTCAGTTGTTATGTTTAACGTCTTACATAAACAATAATTAAAATCGTATTTGTAAACAAGTGATTTTGTTACTTTGATGAATTTTATTTAAATCAATACAAATAAATAATAATTAATCCTTAATAAGTAAATTCAATAATAATAATTTCATAATTAATTGAACTCTCAAATAAGAAATAGCTCTACATATAAATGAAAATCTATTTAAATTATGCCCGACACTACGTAGCAACATCTTTCATGTGATCAACCATGTGACATAGTAAGTAATGCAATCTCGTTTACACCACTAAATGTTGCAAACGGAAGGCAATCCGTTGATTATCGCAATCGTATGCAACAGGTGTCCGACCAATTTAGTTCTCCAAATTTAATTCTTGTTGTTCGATTTTTCATGGCGTCGATCGCTATTGTTTTCCGTTGTCAAACATATGATGTAATTGGTCTATTAATGCACACCGACCAGGAGCGATTGTGTATCGTGTGTACACTTGAACCCTTTCATGTAACGTACGGACAGAAATAATTCGGCCCGATGTGTGCCAAAATTCATGAATCTCTCCTGGTTAGAGCTATATCGGGGAGACAGCGAGGACAAGACGAAGAGAGCATTGTAATCCTGACGCGTAAATTTAATACTTACCTTCGAAAGCTTCCATGGACACGAATACCTACGTGTATTTGATTTT